TTGTGAGAAAGCAGGATTTATTGAGAGGACAGAGAAGCTCCCACAGTGGGAGGGGAACCCAAAGGGGTTGTCCAACACTTTTCATGGTTTCTCTGAGCCTTTCTTCTGTGCATTTTTCCTCCTAGAGATGGAGATATGAATTGTATATTAGACTTTGTAAACAGATTTTTTTCACTTACATCATGAACATTTTCCAGGTCATCAGAAGTTCTTCTGTATCATTTTGAATGACTGTGTAGTAGTTCTTACATGGATTTACCATAATTTACAAATTCTCTATTGTTGGACAAATAGGGTTCTTTTTATAAACAATGCTATGAGGAACATCTTGTAGCTTAAACTTTAGAGACATAGATGATACATATATTTTTTGAGTTGGAGTCCCACTCTGTCGTCCAGGCTGGAGTGTAATGACATGCTTATGGCCACTGCAGCCTTGACTTGCTGGGCTCAGGTGATCCTTCCACCTTAACCTTCCAAGTATCTGGAATTACAGGCACGTACTATCATGTCCGGCTTATTTTTTGATTTATTATAGAGACGAGGTCTCACTAAGTTGCCCAGGCTGATCTAGAACCCCTGAGCTTAGGCAGTCCTCTTGCCTCAGCCTCCCAAAGTGCTGGGATTACAGGCTTGAGCCACTGTGTCTGGCCAATGGTATTTTTTTAAAGGATAAATTCCTAGAAATAAAATCTTGCTGAGTCAGTGCTTACAAATATGTGTGATTTTTTTTTTTTTTTTTTTTTGAGAAGGCAGGATTTATTGAGAGGACAGAAAAGCTACCACAGTGGGAGGGGACCCAAAGGGGTTGCCCAAATATGTGTAATTTTTTAAACCTGTTTTTTTTCTGCAACCTGGTCTAGGTGAATTAAACAGAGAATTGGAATTTTGACTTAATTCTTTCTCAAAAGTACTGATTCTCTGAATTAAGTCTTCCTTTGGTTATTAGGAAAAATACACATTTATAAACAATTTTTGGTGAAATTAAAACTTTTGTGTGAGCCTAAATTTCTTATGTTGCTACTGAGGGAATACATTTGTAATGGAAATTAAATCACTAGCAGTTGAGAAACCAAGAATTTTAAAGTAATTGATTGATATTGTCAGGTTTGGACATTTTCATTACCTGTATGCCTTTTGAACTTAAAAGACTTTGACACATTATAAATCTTTTACATCAATTTGTATTATATACCACATTTTCCAGGTTTTTTTTTTTTTTTTTTTGGCCTGGGGAGGGTGATTAATATAATAAGAAATCTCACAACATGAATTAATTAACTATCGAGTGCTTTCTTTATGCTTGGCAAGGGGTATATTAATGAACACAAATCCTTGCTCTCATGGGAACTTACTTTTTTCACCAAAGTTGGATTTAAAAAAAAAACAACTGAAACGGTGTATTTACTTGTTCTAAAAGTAATGATTTTGACTTGTTAAGTTTCTGGTTATTTTGTCACTAGACTAAGCTTCTTTCACCTGTCATATGACTTATGTGGGCAAAAGGGGCAAGACTGTTTGCCTATAGTTGTATTAAGATGTTGTGGTATTTTTATCTGTGGCTGCTTTAATTTTGTATGGAATGAAGATTTTTCTTGTGTTTTAATTTTGGTATGAATTTTTCAGTAAGTTTTAGGATTCTATGAGAAGTACCATTTTATTTTTTATTTTTATTTATTTATTTATTGGTGAGAAAGCAGGATTTAATGAGAGAACAGAAGAGCTTCCACGGTGGGAGGGGACCTGAAGGGGTTGCCCCGAGAGGTGCCATTTTAAAAAGTCCTAAGAATTTTATTGCTTTAATATTTTACACTATAGTTTTAAAAATTATAAAGTATTTACTTATTGTAAAACCATTGAGACAATATAGTAACAAGAAAATATTAAATAAACCTCATTTGCACTATTAATTTATTCAGTAAATACCAGGAAGCAGTGAGTTAAATACTGGTATTACAAAGTATATGATTAATGTTGTTGACCTGTCTAAATGTAGAACAGGTTGAAAATTCCTCAAGATATGTATGACTCTGAAGAATTTGTTTTTCTCTTAAAATTTATAAATTATTGGAAGTACACTTTGGGCTCATGTATGGGATTCTAGATTATCAGATATTATAAATAAACAGGAAAGCAGTACTTTGAGGAACATGAGAAACTTGGTATAGTTAGTTTTTTACTGAACTTACCTGTAAAACAAGAAACTGTAATACTTTTGGAAAAGAGTATAGGAGAGAATCTTCAGGATCTAGGACTAGGCAAAGAGTTTTTAGACTTGATATCAAAAACACAATCTGTAAAGGCAAAAACTGATTAGTTTAATCTCATCAAAATTAAAAATGTTTGCTTTATGAAAGACCCTGTTAAGAAGATGAAAAGAAAAGCTACAAACTAGGAGAAAAATCTGCAAACCACATATTCAAAAAGGACTTATATCTAGAACATACAAGTAACTCTCAGAACCCAACAGTAAAATTCCAAGAAATCCAATTAGAAAAAGGGCAAAATTCATGAACAGTTACTTCACCAAAAGATAAAAGATAGATGGTGAATAAGCACATGAAAAAGATGTTCACCATCTTTAGCCAGTAGGAAAATGCAAATTATTATCACAATGAGACATCACTGCACACCTATTAGAATGGCCAAAATAAAACTTAGTGACAATACACATGCTAACAAGGAGGAGAAGAAACTGGATTTCTCATACATTGCTGGTGGGAGTGTAGAATAGTATGGCCATTTTGAAAAGAGTTTGGCAGTTTTATAGTTAACTTGCAATTACTATATACCTCAGCATTTGCATTCTTAGGCATTTGTCCTAGAGAAGTGGAAAAGTATGTTCACATAAAAACCTGTACGTGAATGTTCTCAGCAGCCAAGAACTGGAAACAACTCAAATGTCCTTTAATGGGTGAATAGTTAAGCAACTGGTAGTCCATCCATACTATGAAATATAGCAGTAAAAAAGAATGAATAATAGATACAAGGAACAACTTGTAAAAATCTCCAGAGAATTATGCTGAGTGAAAAAAGACAATCTGAAAAAATTATATACTGTATGCTTTCATTTATATTTCATTTATATTATGGTCTTAAAAATGGTGAAATTATGGAGGTGGAGAACAGATTCGTGGTTGCCAAGAGATTTGGGGTTGGAGCTCTGAAGGGTTAGCACAAGGGTGCCTTGGAGTGGTGACCAATTCTGGATCCTGAAAGTGGTGATTGCTAGCTGGGCTTGGTGGCTCAGCCTGTAATCTCGCGCTTTGGGAAGCTGAGGTGAGTGGATTGCCTGAACCTGCGGGTTCGAGACCTGCCTGAGCAACTTGGCAAGACCTCATCTCTACAATAAATCAAAAAATTAGCCGGGCGTGGTAATGCACGCCTGTAGTTCCAGCTAGTGGAAGGCTGAGGCAGAAGGATAGCCGGAGCACAGCAGGTCGAGGCTGCAGTGGCTGCTCCAGTCTGGGTGACAGAGTGAGAGCTCCAACTCAAAAAAAAAAAAAAAGTGGTAATTGCTACACAAATCTACCTGTGTGATGAAATTGCATAGACAAATAAATGCATGTAAGACTGGTGAAATCTGAGTAAAGTTTAGTGGCATTACCAATGACAGTTTATTGGTTTTAATAATGTACTCTAGTCGTGCAGTTTCCCTACTGGAGAGACTGGTTAAAGTGTACATGGGATCTCCTGTGCATTATTTTTGGCAACTTCCTGTGAATCTGTATACTTAGGGTGAAATAAGAAGCTAACCCTCCCCCCACAAAAAAGTACTGGTGGGAGGACCTTTACAGAACAAGAGAAGTGGAAATTTGTACTTTAATGAATTACAGGAAAGATTAATTAGAAAACATTTCATTTCAGAATCTGTTTCTGACTGAACTAAGATTTTAAGATTTTCTACTAGGATAACAACATGAAATAAAAGTATGCGTTGAAGCTAATTAAGCAGAAAAGAATTTATTTATTTTGCTTCATTTTAGAAAGAAGACGTAAATGAATGTGGTGAAAGCATTGACAGAAATAATTTGAAACGATCACAAAGCCATCTTCCTTACTTTACTCCTAAACCACCTCCAGATAGTGCTGTTATCAAAGCTGGATATTGTGTAAAACAAGGAGCAGTGGTGAGTAGTTTAACAGAAAATGTGAAATAATGAAAAATGAATATTTACTAGTGAACTCTAAAATTAACATACACATTGCTTTGTTTTATAAAAGCCCCAAAGTCAGAGACAAGCATGCTGAGAAATGGAGTCAGGAGATAAAATTAGGGATTATTCTGTTTATAATTATTTCCTTGACCTTCGAGCAGCCAGGAAAGTGAATGCCGGTTACCATTGACCTTCAGTCTAAATGAGCTTTCCTAACAGTTTGTTTATTCCAGAAAGTTTTTCTATTGGCCCCTACTGCCTTTTTGGAGTTAATCAGGGAAAGAGAGCTGTGGTGGGAGATGGTAGGCCAGGTGCAGGAAGAGGAAGGGTGTGAAGGATCCCTTGATTTGATGTTAAGCTGACCTCAACTGTAAGCTCTATGACTTTGGGCTACTTACTTACCCTCTCAGGCGCTGTTTCTTTTTTAAGGAAAACCATATTATAAAACCTACCATTTAGGGTTTTTTTTCCTTGAAAGATGTAAATAAGAGAGATGTTTCCCTTCACACAGCCCATGTGTACTCATAATAGCTATTATGGGTAAGTACAGATTTTCCCGTACATTCAGCTACGTATAAGGTATTTCTGCAAGAGCAAGTACACTTATCAGTATTTCTAAGATTGCAACATACCTTTCGAAAATTCAAGCCATTCTTAAGTTTGAGAACACAAAAACCTTTGAGTAAAGAAGTACTTAAAACTCTACTGGCTATTCTGTTTGACTTCTTACCACTTTCTGTCAAGATGAATTCCCTTAGGTCAGCCCAGGGATCATTGCTTCGGTTCTGTTTGACCTTAGGCTAAGGGAAGTGAAGCTGAGGGCTGGGGCATCTCTCACTATAGAACGTATAAAATATCTGCAGACGGAGTCAGAAATCTCTTCAGGCAATGCTGCTGAGTTGTGTGTAAATCATGGCTTTTAAGGACACAGTTCTTTTTGTTTTACTGGTAAGTTCAAAATACAGATCACTTAGAGGTATTTAAATGCTTTCACAAAGCTGTATTTCATTCTCAAAAAATATTTGTACAAAATAGGTTTACTAAATATTTGTTGCTTTTTTATTACTATATATTCATACATTTTACACATAGGGAAACTTGATGTGGTTTAATAATATTTCCTGTGCTTGCTCTTTACTTTGCCAGGGAGTGGAAAGGGGGAGGAAGGGGAAGTGCTTTTTTTTTGGTGTAAACTATAGAGCATTAAAAATATGAATTCCTACCATAAAGTCATGTAATAAAAGCTGAAAACCAGTCATCAAAAGTTGAATTAGGAGTTCAAGGTCTGGGTAACACAGGAGGGGTGAGGTTTCATTTTTCTTTATTAAGAGAGTAATGAGGTTTCTCAGTGCTTGGCATTTCTGATTGTGGGTTCAAATCAGAAAAATTCATTGCTGATTAACAATTGCCATTATTGGAAACAGAAGTCTTATGTCTGTGTTCATCTCTGGTAGATGAAAAACTGGAAGAGAAGATATTTTCAATTGGATGAAAACACGATAGGCTACTTCAAATCTGAACTGGTATGTTGCTGTGTTGTAAATGTTTAAAAATGTTGGAGAAGTGTTACATTGAAGTGATTACATAATTTCTTGTACTGTTCTCTATTTCCAGAATAATTCTAGTTTTGAGAGGTACATAGTTTATTTTGTTGTAATGCTTTTGGTTAATGACATTTTTAAAAAGTACAGCTTAAGTAAAATGATCATATCTTCAAAATGGTATTTCACCATGAAAAATCTAAAAATATTAGCATCTCCCTGTCTATAAAGTTCCTCCACAAAGGCATTAGAGGAGCTAGTGTAAAGAACTACATCTCTAAAAGTAAACATTTAAACCTCTGTATTTCTGTCTTCTCTTGATATTTTCTTTTCCTATTTCACAATGACTCTTAACTTGCTTAACATAAGATGTTTTTGTCCTATCTAAAGGTAATCAAAGATCAAAATTCCCTTTTTCTTGTTTGAGTAGCATCTTTATTTAAAATATTGTCATCCGGGTTCGGTGGCTCAGCCTGTAATCCTAGCACTTCAGGAGGCCGAGGCGAGTGGATAACCCGAGTCAGCGGGTATGAGACCAGCCCAGGCAACTTGGAGAGACCTCGTCTCTACAATAAATAAAAAATTAGCGAGACATGGTAGTGCACGCCTGTAATTACGGCAACTTGGAAGGCTGAGGCTGAAGGATCGCTGGAGCCCAGCAGGTCAACACTGGGGTGGCCCTGTTTGTGCCACTGCACTCCAGCCTGGGCGATGGAGTGAGATTCCACCTCAAAAATAAATAAGTAAATGAATGAATGAATGAATGAATAAACAAACAAACATACATATTTACATTGTCAGTTGACCTGAGTTCCACATTAGCTTGTTGAGTAAATTGAATACAGTTCTGCACTTTAAACATCTATCCTACCTCTCCTTAGTGTATAGGTCCTTTGAGAGGAGAACCAGGTACTTTATTTGAATGAAGGCACCAGTACAGTACTGTCTACTAGAACTTTCTGCATGGATGTAAATGTTCCATATCCGCATTGTCCAATGCCGCTGGCTGTATGTGACTAGTGTGAGTGAGGAACTGACCTTATTTCATTTTAAAACTACACTGATTTTATTTCATTTTCATATAATTTAAATTTACATAGTTTTACATAGCCAGTAGCTACTGTATTGGACAGCAGAGCACTAGAGAATAGAGAAGGAATATTTTAAGATTTACCTCAGGAGTCAGCTTTTCTGGGAAGCTTTTGGACTTTGGGTTAAATGTCTTCTCTTTATATGCCCTTGGTACCCATGTATACTTCTGTGTTTTGTAATTATATGCTTAGTGCCTTTGGTACTAAATCAAATGAGCTTCTTGAGAGCAAAGACTCTTATGTTCCCTTTTATGAACACAGGGCCTGGCACTTGGTAGATAATCAATTTTTTTTTTTTTTTTTTGAGTTGGAGTCTCCCTCTGTCGCCCAGACTGGAGTGCAGTGGCCATTCCCGGCCACCGCAGCCTCGACCGGCTGGGCTCCGGTGATCCTTCCGCCTCAGCCTTCCAAGTAGCTGGAACTACAGGCGCGCGCTACCACGCCTGGCTAGTTTTTGATTTATTGTAGAGATGAGGTCTCGCCAAGTTGCCCAGGCGGGTCTCAAACCCATGGGCTCAGGCAGTTCACTCACCTCAACCTCCCAAAGGCGTGGGATTACAGGCTGAGCCACCGAGCCCGGCAATATTTTTTAATGAATGAAAAATCACATAGCGTAGCAAGAATATCCATTTTGCATGAGGGCCTTTCTCAGACTTTAAAGTTTCAGAACCTCATCTGGAAGTAGTAATTATGGTAGCTACTTGGTTCCATAAGAGACCAGCCTTGCTGCCTTAGAATGCTGTACTTGTGTTTGGTTAGCAGGGTAACTCATTGATTTTTGTTTGTTTATTTTTATTATTTTATTTTATGTTTTATTTTATTATTTTTAGATTCAGAGTCTTGCACTCTCACCCTGACTGGAATGCAGTAGTGCATTCATGGTTCACTGTAGCTTTGGCCTTCTGGGCTTACGTGATTACTCTACTTCAGTTTCTCAAGTAGCTGGCACTACAGGCATGTGCCACCATGCCCAGCTAATTTTTTGTAGAGAAAGAATCTTGCTATGCTGCCCACACTGGTCTCTGCCTCCTGGCCTCAAGTGATCCTCCTAGCTTGGCCTTCTAAAGTGCTGGGATGAAAGGCAAGAGCAACATCCCTGGCCGTCACTATTTCAGTTAATGCGAATACTCTTGGGACACATCATTCATGCAACAGACAGTCATTGAGCTCTCTATGACTCTGGTACCCTGTTCTGGGAACTGAAAATAAAGAGAACAGTTTATCAAAGTTCTCTGGCCTTCAGGCATTCAGTTTTGCAAGGGAAATTTACATGTGCCTGCATCACCAGCAGTACTTTTAACGAGACAGGAAGTATAACAGAAATATTTACTAAGTTATAAAAGCTTGCATGTTGGACATTATGTTGCAAAATTTATGAGGAAGAATGAGCTAGGGAAATATAGGGAAGAGTTGGGGAAGTTATACTGTGTAATTAGGAATATGTTACATGTTTAGAAAATGCAGATGATAAAGCTGAAAACTTTAATATATTTATAGTTTCTGACCTTTATTAGTACTAAGATGCACAGCCCACCCCTCCACTTTTAACATTTCTGCAATCTTAGGGATGTGTCTTAGAGTTGCTGAGGGTCAGGGGCAGTAGCAGCAGCTATAGCTGTGCTGTGCTGTAGTTGTTACTGCTTGCATGCACAGTAAGGTCCAGAAGACTCCAGCATCATAGTGTGCAGAAAGGGGTGTTGGAAGCATGGAAGAAAATCTCAGGGACACAATGGAGTATTCTTAAGAAATGCTGTATCACCAGCACTCTTTGGCACAGAGAATGGCATGAAGTGAAAAATACGGGCATTGCTGGCTCCAAGTCAAAAAGTGATTCATAAAAGCTGGAATCTGAATCTGTAACTACTTTATTTTGTTTATATTTTTTATATATGCTTAAGAATAGTATGTGATAAAAATGTTTAAAGTATAAATGAGTTCCTTTGCAAAATCTTTTTATCATGGGCAAATGTAAACATAAAGTAAATAGACAGAAATAGTCTACGGAACCCTCATATGCCCATCACCCTAGATTTCATCATTGTCAGCACATGGCTCAGCTCATCTTGCTTCTTCTGTTCCACTACCTACTTCCTTCTTTGTATTTGAAGGCAGAGTCTGAGTATCTCATCATTACATCTGTAAATACTTCAGTGTGTATCTTTAAAAGATAATTTAAACGTTTAAAAAGTAAGTATAAAGGACTTAAGGGCACAACTGAAAAACTGGTGAAAATATTTGCAACATATATGAGAGATAAACATTAATATTTCTAACATAAAAAGAATCTTAGAAACTGAGAGTCTTCTTCCTTATCCTCTTTGCTGTCTTTTCTTCCCATCAATCCCAAACAATTAAGATTCAAGTTTATTAGGTGAGGCAAAACTGTGCTGGTGGTCATGGTGGGGGTCAGGAGGAACCAGCATATCCTGGTGTGGGCAGTCAGAGCCCATGCAGGGTGAGGTGGTATAGTCCTTTTGGGGGGTTAGCCTGATAGGGAGTAGAGAGTAATAGAAGTCAAGTGTCTTGCTGTCAGAGAAACTTGACACTTTGGTAAATGAACGAATGTGTCAGTCTGTCAGTATGTATGATGAAGAATGAGATATTTACATAGTTTCAAAGTAGCTATCTACAGAACATAGTACAAGGGAAAAGACTAACTTTACAGTGAAAAAACCTGGCAGATACCACTTTAATCAGGTTGGTGAAATAATTGAAATGAAATTCAGTGGTATAATGTACATTGAAATCATTTACCATTTGACAGGATAACCTGAAAAGAAGGCAACATCGCTTCAGTGGTATTTCTGCCAAAAGTACGTGATCTAAATCTGATCATGGGGAAGTATTAGGCATACCCAAATGAGGGATATTCTACAAAATAACAGCCTTGTGATGTTCAAAAGAGTCAAGGAAAGAATAAGGAACTGTTCCAGACTAAAGAAAAGGAAAGAGATATGACAGGCAGATGATGTCCATGCTTCTGAACAGAATCATTTTGCTCTAATAAAAGACATTTTGGGCATGATTTTCTGATTTTGATGGTTGTTATCTAAGAGAATGTCTTTGTAGGAAATACACATGGAAACCTTCAGGGGTAGTGTGGGCCAGGTCAGTAATTCACTCTGAAATGGCTCAGGAAAATCAGTTCTTTGTGCTACATTTTCAACCTTTGTTGTAAATTCATGATGGTTTCAAGCTTTAAAAAAAGAAAATTGAGAAAATATCTGGTAGGAAAATGAACAAAAAAACCCCATAAGTAAACAATTTGCTTAAAAATTAAGAAGCCCTTAAAAATATAAAAACATATTATTCAACATTATTGATAATTAGAGAAATTAAAACTGCACTGAAATACTTCTCATCTAGCATGAGAAGTCTGTGATTGACTGAAGAAATTGGCAGGCCCCCTCTCCTAAAAGCAACTATAAATGCCATTCTGTAAACAAAAGGAACCAAGACTTTGTGAAGAAATGACTGATTTCATAGCTGGAGCAGGGAAAATACAAGCTGAGCCCAGAACATCAGCCTGTGCCAGAAAATAAGAAAGTGACTCAGAATGAATCGGACATGTCAAAGGGACACAGAAGCCACCTTGAAGGGGCTTTCTATGACCAAAACTTAGACAATTTAAGTAAGAAAATAAACGATGATATTACTGGATCATAACCCATAGAATAAAAAAGGTCATGAATAAATAAATGAAGAAGGAAAAGCATTTCCTCATAGTAAGGTTCTATCTTAATCTATATAGATGAATTGATAGGGATAGAAAATTCACCACTTGACTGCCACTGTAACAATGGTTTCAGGCAAGAATCCTGAATGTTTGATAAAACTCATGGGCAAAATTATGATGGGAAACTGGGTAGCACATAGTTTGCAAGTTCTCGCTTCATAAGATACTTAACAATGACAAAGGGAAAAAGTAATATTATAGTTACTGATAAAACTGACCTTAAGCAGGAGGTCAGGGTTAACACACCAATAATGGGACAAACCACCATCAAGTATATGTGTCCTGATAATGATGCACTGAGAAGAATAGTGTCGCACCTGTGGTTTACTGTCAAAAATGTATAATCTGAATCTCAGCACAAATAAATATCAGACAGACTTAAATTGGGAGATATTCTATATAACTGTGTAACTGTTCTGAATATTTTAAAACTCTAAAGATCATGAAAGAAAAAAAAAGACTGAAGAACTATTCCTTGGTAAAAGAGACTAAGAGGTATGGCCCTAGATTGAACCCTGGGTCAAAAAATAGTTTCTATTTTGCTGTAAAGGAGATCCTGGTGGGACAATTAATGAAATCTGAAGATAGTCTGTAGATTAGATAATAGTCTTACATCAATGTTGAGTTTCCAGTTTTCATAATTGTACTGTGGTTATACAAGAACACATTCATGTTTTAGGAAATATACCCTGAAGTATTTCGTAGTAAAAGTGCATCATATCTAATACTTGCCTTTAAACATTTAAGGAGAGATATATGTACTCACATATATATTTACTTATACCTACCCAAACATAATGGTAAAACAAATGTAAAATATTAACATTTTAGAAAGCAAGGTGTAAGTTATAGAAATTCTTTGTACTATTTTTCTAAGTCTTGATGTCATGGTATATTCAATGAAATACATATACAGTATTTCATGGAATGTGTAGTATAAATATTATACTATTAGGAACCAGTCACATCTTATATTTGTATCTTATATCTAGTTTTATAATGGGTGAGGTAATTTACATGTCTACTCCTCACTTTCCTCGTAAATAATAGTACATGTATTGTAGTGTTGTGGAAAGTGTAAGTGAGATAAAACGTTTAAAACCCAGCAGATGTCTTGCACTTAATAAATGTTTAATAAATAGTGCTTGTTAGCTTAATGGACTCATATAAAGGTGATATTCATAAAATGACAAATTTAAGTTAAAGAAGCTGGGTATTCACTGCTCTGGTGCCTTGTAAATCAAAGTGACATTCCACAAGAGGAAGTAATGCACTTACTTGGTACACAGGTCCACTGGGGGAATGTCTGATAGCTAGTGGCCACGAGACAGCTACACGTCATTAAGGCCAGAAATCATGTTATATGTGATATCCTTGTTTCAAACAACAGTGCATATAAGGTTATAATTTTGGAGCTATTTTGATGATAAATGGTTTAAGAAAATATCCTAGATGTGCTTTAAGAAAGAAGTCTAATTTTCACATAAATCTCCAAGTAAGACAACTAACTGACTCTTGAAAGCATTTTATGAGTAAATGTCATGTATCTGCTTGTTCTTTTTTCACTGCCAGGAAAAGGAACCTCTCCGTGTAATACCACTCAAAGAGGTTCATAAAGTTCAGGAATGTAAGCAAAGGTAAGGAACAACTCTGACTGGATGCCTGGTATAACTTATTAACACAGGATAGTGCTTTAGTTTGATTAATGTGCTTGTAGATTATAGTTTTCCATATTAATTGTAGTTTAAAACTCAATAGTCAAGATATGCTAGAATTGTCAAAACCTTCAGACTAAAGTATTTAAAACATTTTGTTTATTTGAAAGCTAAAAATTAGGAAATGTAATCTTTTTGTTTCTTCGAAAACTAAAAATTCAGAAACAACTTATTAATGGAAAGGAAGAGTTTAATCTGACCAATTTATAGTTATGCCATTAGATTTGACAAGCTGATGTATTAATTTTAGCATTTCAAAGGTGCTGCAGAATACAGCTCTTCAAAAAAAAATGTGTTAGATGTGCCAGTGTTTGAGCAAACTGGTTTCTTCACAGTTAAAAATTTTAAAGTTGCTTTATGAACCTTTTCTGAAAGTATAACTGTATAAAATATGGAAAATTTAATGTAAAAACACAAAAATAAATGGGAAAAGGTAATTTGGTTTTGTTAAATTAAATCAGTGTTTTCTCTCTTATATTTATTTATTGGCACATACTTGGTACTAGGTAAACAAGTGAAAGAAAAACTATCAAACAACTGCTATTTAAGTACAATTAGATATTTTTTTTTATAACAGTGACATAATGATGAGGGACAACCTCTTTGAAATTGTAACAACGTCTCGAACTTTCTATGTGCAGGTAAGATACTTATTTGGAAATTTTAGGTTCTTCTGACAAGAAATTAATAATTTTAGAGGTGAAATAAACATAAATAAGCTTATTGCTTTTGAATTTTAAAAATATGACAACTCTAATTCATCAGCTTAATAAAATAATGTTATGTAAAGAATAGGGTTATATGTTCAAGAAATGTGAGTAATTAGTGAAATAGAACTAAGTAGTATTTGGAGGAAGGGAAATGCTATTTTAACTTACATGTTAAATGTGTATCTTCAAGTTGAATTACTTGTGCACATATTTTAGAATTTTGATTTTCCTATTATATCAATTTTTGGTAATCTTATAAAAAGGAGAGATGAATAATACCCATTAGATCTAATGGTAGGCATCCCCTATTTAAGTTTAAATGTACTTTTGGCTTACCACATTGAATTATTTAAATAGAAAGTTTTTTAAAAGATTTATTTTTGCTTTATTAAAGTTACATATGCTTATTTCAGAAAATTTGGAAAATATAGAAAAAAATATTTTTTTTTATTTTAAGAAAGTAAGATTTATTGAGAAGACAGAAAAGCTCCCACAGTTGGAGGGGACCTGAAGAAGTTGCCTGAAAAAATATTTTTGAAAAGATGGTTTTTAAAACACACAATCCCATATTCAACCAATCATTTCTTTTTTTTTCTTCTGAATTCCTTAAGGCATTTCTTTTTATAGTAGGTAGGGTCATACTGAATATAGTGTTATATCCTATTTGTTTCATATATTGTGGTCATATTTTCCCATGTCATTAAAAATTCTCTGAAAACCTTTTAGGACTGCACTATACTCCACTGTATGGATGTTCTACAAGTAAACCATATCTTTATTACTCTGTTACTGAATATCCATTTGCATAGTTTTCAGACATTTAGACATCTTTGTGCATAAATTTGTCTGAATTTCTTCAGGATAAGTTGCTGAATCAAGATTAACTATCAGAGCATGAATCTTTTTATCTAATTGATTTCTGGAATTGTGTTCCTATAGTTTTTCTTTTTAAAAAGTCTTTGTTTATATTATTGTTGATTCAAAAATATTATCCTATATCCTTAAAGTTTTTGTATTTCTAGACTCTAGAAGTAGGGGTCAGTATCTCTGTACCCCTCTCAAGGCCTTGTTTAATTTGATTAATTTTATATTAAGGTTTTATTTATTTGAATTCACGTTGAAAGTCAGGCCCTATCTAGGAATATGATTTTTTCGATATGATTACTATCCAATACTTTTCTTAGGACTTAGGGTACTACCATAAATTATTTCTAGAAAAATAATATGTAAAATGATATAAAATTTTTTTTAGATTACACAATTACATAAATATTCTTTTTTTTTTTTTGAGTTGGAGTCTCACTCGGTCACCCAGAC